ACTAATACAACCTTTTTGGAAGGAAGTATGGAGAAACCTTAAAGAACTCAACCTAGACCTCCCATTTGATCCTGCATTCTCATTACTGGGCGTCTATCCAGAAGGAAAAAAAAAAACGTTTTATTATAAAGACACTTGTACTGGGCTATTTATCACAGCCCAATTTACAATTGCTAAAATGTGGAAACAGCCTAAATGTCCTTCAACCCAGGAATGGATTGGTAAGCTCTGGTATATGTATACCATGGAATATTATTCAGCCCTCAAAAATAATGGAGATTTTACAGCATTTGTAATAATCTGGATGGAGGTGGAACACATTATTCTTAGTGAAGCATCACAGGAATTGAGAAGTAAGAATCCTATGTATTCAAATTTGATATGAAGACAATTAATGACAATTAATGACACGGTGGATCATGGGGGGAGGGGAGACCAGACAGAGAAGGAGGGAGGGGGTGTGGGCAAGAAAAAAAAAAGAGAAAGAAAATAGTGACTAATTCTCACATAAATTGGATTTAATTTTGACCAAAGTATATTACTTAAACATTAATTTTTAATTCAACATGTTAATATGTTGTTTATCATATTGCATCCTCATTTATAAGTGAAATATGTTTGTAATTTCCCCTTTATCATAATGTATTTTCTCCAATTTTAATATCAGGTGTATCCAGATTAAGTAGAGTGATTTTTATAGTATTTCTTTTTCTATTGTCTATAAGATTTGGCATGATCTGTTTCTTTGAAATTATCTTTTATTTATAAATATTAGTTGTCTATTTTTTGAGACTTTGGAAAAAACAAAATAATAAGAAGTAGTTAACTGATCAAAGTATTCTATAATAGACATACTCCTATCTGACAATGTGAATGTTATTTCTTCGCATTATTATTACTTAACATTTGATTGCAGCAATCGTCTGAGTTCTTTCTGAATGTATTTATCCTCATTCATTGTTTATGAGGTTTCTGTTCTCAGTCCTTATGTTAAACATTGTTATTGTCACTAAATTTAGCCTTTTTAATTCTGTGAAGGCAAAAGTGGAAACCTAATAAATACATGTATATGTAAGAAAAATAAATTTTAAGAAAAGGAAGAGAAGGGTAAAGAACAAGCAGGAAAAAACAAGAGAAAGAAAAAAAGGAAAAAAAAAAAGAGAAGGAAGATGAAAGAAAACATTGAAGAACAGGAGAGAAGGAGGACAACAAGAGAGAATGAGAGTGATAAAAGAAATGGTATTGATTGGCACAATGCTAAGGCCATGCCTGTGTTTCAAGGATTTTGAGGGGCTGGACTGGTTGGGGTCCTCAAAATCAGAAGCTCCTTACCAGCCTGAGCAAAGACAGACTCTTCTCCCCAAAATAGGAAGAAAAATAGCTGTGATTTTCCCAGTATGCCTGCCAAAAAATAAGAAAGAAAAAAATAAATAAAAATGAAAATGAAATAGAAAAATTATATAGTGTGGGCCTACCAATACTATTCCCATGGCCAAAAGTAGAAAGGTTCCCTAGACCATTATCTCTTGGCCTCCTTGAGACAGACTACTCCACTATCTCCCTGCCAGATTACAACTGTGTCTCCCAACTGTCAGTGAAAAAAAGAAAAATAGAAGAGGGAAAAAATAATAACAATAAAATAAGAAGAGACAAAGGAAATTAAAAATAAAGTTTTATCAAATAAAGGAAAGTGAGGGCAGAGGAAAGTGGAAAGAAAGAAGAAAGACCCAAGAAAGAGGAGATATCTTACATGCTACAAGTGATTTATTTGAGAAAGATGAGAAAAGTAGAAGAGTCTCTATTAAAAGAGAGAATAGAGAAAAGTGAAATAGAGAGAGAGAATAAATTAGGCTAAAATACCATAGCCAAAAAAACAGGAACCCTTGCACTTAATGAAAGTTATGAGTAAAACCACCCAAACAAATTAGCAAAACCACAACACAATAAAACAAAACAAAACAAAACAAAGCAAAAATCTGAAATAGCCAAAAATAGCAAAATCCCCAGCAACTTAGAAAAGAAGAAAAAAAATACTAAAAAAGAAAAAAAGGAAAATGGAAGGGACCAACTTTAATAATATATATGTTGCAATATGTTGCCAGGACACCAGGTGGCACTGTGGTTTTTTAGGAGCTGGAGAACACAGCTCTCAATCTTTTTGGTCCTTAGTCCTATCTTAGTTGTCCCCAGTGATCGCTTTGTTGTTTTCTCAGTATTCAGATCCCACTGGGTTGGGATCTTATAGCTCACAAGAATCCTTCAGAGGCAGGTTTCACAGTGCCCCCTGACAATAGTTCCCTTGGGATATGGGAGTCATTCAGCCTGTCCCAAAAGAGGAGGTCTGATCCTGGTAGGTGGAACTAAGACAGCTGTGCTTTAGGCCCCTGGTAATAGGCCCAACCTCACCACTTTCTCATGACCTCCCCACAGTGATCACCCCCTGGCAGCTGTGACCTTCCCAGTATGCCTGCCTCACCAGTATGCTTCTCAACCAATGGAAAATCCACTCCAAATCTGGCTGCTGTAAACTACTTCAGTCTGCTTACTCTTTCAAGCTTTCCACTCAATGTGCAGCTTCCCCCCCAAACCAAAAGCTATAGAAAGTCTTCCCCAATCCCTGGACCTCCATGGAGAGTCTGGCGGTTGCCACGGGCTTCCAATCACTTGCTTGAAGAGTCAGCTCACAACTGCTCTAGATTACACACTATCTTCTGCACACTACCACCTCATTGTGCTCCCTGAGCTATGTCTCTGGGTAAGGTTCCCACGCCAGGTATGGCTGGGTTCTCTTTCTCTAGTTGTACTAGGAGAGCTCAGCCAACAATCCTCTGGTCCCATTCTTGCTCCACCCCCTAGACATCTTTCTTTGCACTTTCTTTACTCTGTTCAATGTGAAATCTTTGCATCTTTTCTCGTTCCTTCTCTGATGCTGTTAAGGAAAAACAAGGGGGTGGAGGGAAATGCTCTGGTCAGAAAAGTGGTAACTGGAACAAATAATTCTTCCATAATTCCCTCTGTGAATGTAAGGAGGCACAATTTATAGATTAAAAGAAATATCCACCAGGCAGTAGTGAATGAGCCTTGCTGATACTGTGCACAGAGTTTTACCTGCCTTTAGTGGTCTGTGTGCATGGCCTATGAGGAAACAGCCTTGATATATATTGAATACTTAGACAGTGGTAGAGGATATCTCTGTTGTGAAGACTGTGGACTGAGAACTCTGTGTGAAGACTGTCTCCTTCATGGATATATAGAAGGTAGAGACATAAAATTATTCCTATTATATTTTTCTATTCTTAAATTTAGAGTTGGAACCACCTCACTGAGGATGGTCACCTACTGTTATTTGTCTAAGATGGCTTTTGGAATTTAGACATTGAGAGATATATGTGGTCTACATAATGTTTTCTATGTGTTTTTAATAAAGTCAAAAACCTACTTTTAGAAACCCTAACACGAACAGAATCTAAACACTTTAGTTTCCATAACAAACTATTGACTTCATTTTAGTGACCAAATCTCTTGAGCTTCATGTCCCATTTTTCTCAGATTAGGCACTTAATTTCTCTGACTCCTAGTTTCCCAATCTATAAAATGATAATTGTTAATCTCATAACCTGGTTTTTCCAAGTATTAATGTTTGTAAAACATCTGAGTACTCAGACTAAAAGGACTGGAATCAGTGCTAAGTATTTTAATTATCTTGATTATATTGTGAAAATTCATAGCTTGAAAATCATTTTTGGTTGTTTCCAGGTTCACAGCACTGTTTTAAGCTTAAATTTAGATTAGCTCTAATCCAACTCGTTTATTTGAACTTCTAAATTTTTCTATCCAAAGTCCATTTTGTCCTTCTGTTGTTCTTTCTGATATTTAAAAAACCATCCTGGGAAGTCTTCTTCATCTCCATGGTTATCATTTTTTACTCTCAAAAACTGAAACAGTTGGAATCACTAAGCCAATTTCTTTGTTAATTGAAATTTAGCTAGAGGTGTGAACTGCCCCAGGAGGGAAACCCTCTGCACAAAGAAATTTAAGAAAGTGGGAAAAGGCAAGAGATTCCACTGCATCTTTTTGGTGGGGGGTGGGCCCTGATTTGTCTGAAATAGGTGGTTCTTTTTAGGAGGGTAGAATTGTTTATTAGTTTGTGTGTTTGTTGTTCCCCAAATCACATGACAACCATCTGAGGAGAATTTCTGATTCAGTCATAACTTTTCACAACAACAATGCTCCAGAAAGTTTAGAAATTCTAATCTTCTGCAATTCGGGGATATAAGGTGCCTATGGGTTATAGCAGAGCAGTGTGGTGGTGATGCTTATGGCAGCAGGTGGGGCAAGATGCAAGGAGGACCTTACACAAATGTAGCAATGGGTTTCCCTGTTGGACTACGCCAGCCTTTTAAAAAGATATCCTCCTCATGTCACATCTCTCATTTCCCCATAAACCTGCTGTTGCCTGTGATTTCTGCATTCTTACCTCCGTTGATCAGGATGGCTCTTTAAGTTCTTTTGTCCCTTTGAAGGGTGCTGAAACTGGGCAGAAGCCATGAGTATTTTTTTTTTTCCTTTGGGTATATAGTTAGAAAACTAAAATGTTTTACTACCAACCTTGAATAGCCATATCCAAAGAGAGACAACTTAGACTCCATGTTATTCATCCCATATTATTTTCAATTTCTCAAAACACAGTCTATCCTACCAAAATTGGGAGTAGGAAATAGAGAATTCTCATCTCAGGTAAGAAAACTTGGGATGCCATGCGGAATGAAATTAATTCATGATGTGTTCACCTCATCCTGAACTCTTTAGTAAAAATAGCTGAGATAGTATTAGAGTTTTAGTTCTTACTATAATGTTCTCCACTTATGTACTAGAATAAACCTTTTTATGAACTAAATGTCATAGAGACTAGTTTGCTGCTTAACACAATACACAATGTGATTTATAACATCCTGTCTTTTGAGTCATTGGGCTTCTTGTGGCACAATTATGTATTCCAGATTTTTCCCAAAAAGTCCTGGAAAAAACTTTTCTTGAATGGCATGAAGAACAAAATTTTTACTCAACGTCTGTCAGACGACTTTGTTGGAATGAGTTTTCCTGAAGTTGCCCTGTAAGTTGAATAAAATCCTTTTTCTCATTCTTCAAGCAACAATGTTTTTCAAGGATTCACTGTAGTCCAGGCTCCATTATAAAATGCCAAAGACACCAGAATGAATAATTCAGAGTACCTGTAGCTTAGAAGTTTGCAGTCTGTGTGGGACAATTTCATCTCTGCCCCAGTTGGCACACTGGTCATCGGTCACTTCCAGTGATTGACTTATAAGCGAAGATTACATGTGTGGGTGTTCTTTCCTCTGCTAAGACCCTGGTTTGCTCCCAAGCACAGAGCGCAAAGTGTTAGTCATGTTCTTGCCCACTGGCCCCCTGCTGTTCTTTCCTTCCTTACAACTCCTTGTCTTCCTTTCCAGGCTCTGCTTTATGAAGATGCACCTCATGCTAATAGCCATCGAACACAAATCCTTCATTCAGAGTGGTTACTGGTACCAAAGAGGCTTCTTATCTCTTCAGTTTGTTTTTAGTGGAATCTTTACAATTAAGTCGTTATCCAGAAATATAGCCATAGTTAAGCTTTTTGACACTTGTTGAGAGCCACCCTCTTGCACACACAGAGTCGGGAGTGCATTCAGTGCTGTCTCTGACAACTAGGGTTCCAATGATCACCCCAACCAGCAATAGCTTTGCTTTTGTGCCCGTGAACCCACCCTAGTTGTCTCTCACAAGCCGAGAAAAGAAGAAATGGTCACCTTATTAGATTTTTTTCTACTTAATATTGTTATTAGGTCTTATAAGTCTTGACCATGAAACAATACTATAAACTGGAATTTTTTGAAAAAAAAAAAAAACATATTCCCACAAACTCTACCCTTAGAAAGTAAGCTGAAAAATGGGAATTTGTGGGGCCTACTGGATGAAGTCTTCTATTAATAGGGCAGGTAAAGGGAAAAGGTAATATCACCACATCACTAGCATTTCCTGGGAAACCATAAATAGATAATACAAGAACTAAGACAAGTCCTCATGCAACACGATAGAAAATCCAAGACAAACAGAATATACCAAAACATAAATGGGAGAAAAGGTGAACGAAGAAAGAGAATCAGCTATTATAATGTAGAGATTTAAATATTCTGAAAAATAAGCAAAGTGAGGACTTAAAATGGATGTAAGGCAAGAAAATCTATTATGTTGACTTATACATGCTTTTTAGTGGAATTCATACATGTAATTTGGAATCAACAGACCAGATCCTAAACCTAGCTATTTGCTAGCCTTTTGGCCTTGAAGGCAAGTTTCTTTATAGGATGAGGAAGTCATGTTAATAAATTTCTAAGATGCTTTCCAGTTGTAAAATTGCTGCTACCAGGAATCCTAGCATTGTGGGGAAACACTGAATATTTAATTATTTTAAATTGAGTCATTATACATGAATGAATAATTTTACATGAAAAGTTGGAAAAAAGAAAGATACATTGAGAGAATGTATAAGTCATCTGAGTAGGAAAAAACTCAGTGGGGTATGGCAAAAAGTGAGTCTTTAAGGAAAGAATGAACAAATCTTACTGCCTGGCTAGACGAGTTCAATTTAACAATTTTACCATGCCCAAGAAATATAAACCTCTTCATGCAAACATCTACAAAAGTGGACTTTCTACTGGATACAGGTCAGTGTCTTAGAATCTAAAAGTGGGCAATTTGGGTTTCAGAATAGCCCCAAACTTACTCAAGTATTAGTAACAACTTTGGCCTTCAGCAATCTGAGCTGTCCATCAAAATTATTTCCAAAATTTTAAAGACATGTAGGTTCTAAAACCCTATTTCTGACTTTACAAAATCAAAATTACAAGCCTGAGAACTTTTTTCTTAAGTGTTCATGATACAGTCAGTATTATTTACTGTCACTTGAAAATGACAACTATATGCTTCTAAGATCCTTTATAACTCCAAGATTCTAGATTTATGTAAACTTTATTAAGATGACTGACTATTAAGACATTACAGACAAGAAACATGAGTATGTACTAAGCAACTGATTTGATATAGTGTAGATTCAAGAGATCCTAGTGTTGCTTACTAGCACACATGTACCCCCAGTGAGAGAGAAACCTTCTCCAACACTGATTTAATTTGGTCTTCTCACTGAAACATCACATACATCCAGAGGATTAAATCCTGACTTAGCAAAGATACTGACAATAGCAATCTCTCAGAAGATTGTTACTTCATGAGCAATCCTGCATACATTAACCCTTGAATCCTTACAACAATGCTGTGAGATGGATGCAACTATTCGTCCCATTTTACTAGGTGGTATCATTAATCCTATTTCATAGAGGAGGAAAAGTGAGGCTCAGAAGAGTTAAAAAATTATCCCAACCTCGCACAACTCCAAGTGTCAGAGCCAGAATCTGAACTCACACAGCCCTGCCTCAGAGATTGGGCTTTCATCACCATGCTGTACTAACCTACCACAGCCACTGTGGGTATCAGGAAGATTGGACATATCAGTGGCAGGGTTTTAGGCACAAATATTTAAATTAGGGGTAAAAAGCTATCTTTTCTCACTCTTTATTTTCTCTTCTAATTGATACACTGGAATAGACTTTAAGACATGCAAAAGCCCTGGATAATCATGAGAATTTGTCTTAGGGAAAGATTTGCTGCATGCTAAGAGATGAAGCTGGATCTGACCTCAGTCAGATAAT